TTCTCTTCCAAAAGTGCCCCCCATCGTTGACAGAACACGACGCGAGGTAGACTCGGTGAAAGTAACAAGCGGAGCTCAACCCGCGGAGCTGAGGCAGCGCGGCACAACGCGAGCACTGCCCGAGCTACGGGCCTACCCCGAGTGTCCTCCTTACCTCCCCGCGCGAGCCTCGGGCTGGCCCGTGCAGACCACGACGAATCGCGCCAGGCCGTGGCCACCTCGCCGCCGACTCTAGAGGCATTGGGAGCCGCGATTTTGTTGGTAACTCGCCGCCTCAGCGACGCGCCAACTGCGCACGGGCCTCGCCTGGCGCAGGCCCAGGCTGCACGACGGCTACTTTATTGACGCCCGCGCGTCAGCACCGAAAACGCGCAGCCCGGTCGTGACGGCGGCGCCTCGCGGCCTCGCCCTGCCCTCGTCTCGGCCGCAACCCACGCGTGCTCGGTCTCTGCGCCTGCAGCGAGCGACGCGGGCCGAGCGCCTCCCCGCGCGAAAACGCCACCGCGCCCAGGCGAGCCGCAGGCTCCATTGATTACGAAAAATCGACCAGGCCACAGCGCGGCCGTGCGTTCGCGGAGCGCGGTGAGGACGGCGGAGGGGGACGCGGAGCATCGCTAACAGCGCGGCTCGGTGCTGCGCGGCGTTCCTCACCTGCCGTGGAACCAGTCCTTGCAGACGTCGCACTCGATCATGAAGCGAGTGACATCGTAAGGGAGGCGGCAAACGCAATACACGGGCTCGCCCGCCATCTTGCGACGACCACCAACCGCGCGTCTGCGATCCGCACATTCGCCACGCGGCGCCCTGATGCCAGCACAGAGGTTTATCTTTAATATCTTTGTTAAAAATATATTTTTTTTTACGTATACATTTTTAACAGAATGTTCATGTTGAATGTAAACGGGGATGCGAATATTTGCACTGCAAATTATTATTTTTTTGGCTCAGAAATGTGAATATTTGTACGGTCACGCGTGAGAATGTTGTCGAATCTGCACGCGGTGAGCTGAACGTTCGCGCCCGGGCGCGATTGCGCAATCGGTTGCCTTCACAAAGACAAAGGTCCCCCGTGTAGCCTTGACAGGCTGCTGGGGCAAGTGCTGCTAGCGAGCAGCACCTGTGAAGGCCGGCACGGCACGCGATGGGGTGGGGTGGCCAGCACCACGCCCGGCCGCCTTTGTCTCCCCAGTGGCGAAGTTTACACATTCGCGCCAGGTACTCATTTGAGGCCGAGTCGACCTAGGGGCCGTCCATAAATGACGTCACGCGATTTTGGACGATTTTTGACCCCCCCCCCCCTCGTCACACGGCGTCACAAAAAGTCAGACCCCCCCCTCAAATATGACGTCACCAAGCTCTGCCCCCCCCAAACCATATTTCCATTTTGAAAATAAAACATGCTTCAAATCGCTTTAAACTATTGTCATTGTAGTGCGTATTTAACGTGGCGCTGCACTCTGATGTTGTAGGAAAAAACATTTATTAAAAAGTCTATTTAATTAAGTAGAACGTGTTGTCTATATTTATTTAAATTTGAGCATTTTGATGTGACGTCATATTTCTCACCCCCCCCCCTCGTCACACATCGTCACCAATGTCTGACCCCCCCTCGAGGTGCGGGACGGCAGTGGAAGCAGCGGGGACATATCTCTTAAATCAGTTACATTTAGGGGCCGTCCATAAATGACGTCACGCACATAGGGGGGGTGGGGGTCAGACATTTGTGACGATGTGTGACGAGGGGGGGGGGGGGTGAGAAATGTGACGTCACATCAAAATGCGCAACTTTAAATAAATATAGACAACACGTTCTACTTAATTAAATAGACTTTTAATAAATGTTTTCTCCTACAACATCAGAGTGCAGCGGCACATTAAATACGCACTACAATGACAATAGTTTAAAGCGATTTGAAGCATGTTTTAGTTTTAAAATGGAAATGTGGTTTTGGGAGGGGGGGAGCTTTGTGACGTCATATTTGAGGGGGGGGGTCTGACTTTTTGTGACGCCGTGTGACGATGGGGGGGGGGGTAATCGTCAAAAATCGAGTGACGTCATTTATGAACATGTCAAAAATCGTCCAAAATCGAGTGACGTCATTAATGGACGGGTCAAAAATCGTCCAAAACCGAGTGACGTCATTTATGGACGGGTCCAAAATCGTCCAAAATCGAGTGACGTCATTTATGAACGGGCCCAAAATCGTCCAAAATCGAGTGACGTCATTTATGGACGGGTCAAAAATCGTCCAAACCCGAGTGACGTCATTTATGGACGGGTCCAAAATCGTCCAAAATCGAGTGACGTCATTTATGAACGGGCCCAAAATCGTCCAAAATCGAGTGACGTCATTTATGGACGGGCCCAAAATCGTCCAAAATCGAGTGACGTCATTTATGGACGGGTCAAAAATCGTCCAAAACCGAGTGACGTCATTTATGGACGGGTCCAAAATCGTCCAAAATCGAGTGACGTCATTTATGAACGGGCCCAAAATCGTCCAAAATCGAGTGACGTCATTTATGGACGGGCCCAAAATCGTCCAAAATCGAGTGACGTCATTTATGGACGGGTCAAAAATCGTCCAAAACCGAGTGACGTCATTTATGGACGGGTCCAAAATCGAGTGACGTCATTTATGAACGGGCCCAAAATCGTCCAAAATCGAGTGACGTCATTTATGGACGGGCCCAAAATCGTCCAAAATCGAGTGACGTCATTTATGGACGGGTCAAAAATCGTCCAAAACCGAGTGACGTCATTTATGGACGGGTCCAAAATCGTCCAAAATCGAGTGACGTCATTTATGAACGGGCCCAAAATCGTCCAAAATCGAGTGACGTCATTTATGGACGGGCCCAAAATCGTCCAAAATCGAGTGACGTCATTTATGGACGGGTCAAAAATCGTCCAAAACCGAGTGACGTCATTTATGGACGGGTCCAAAATCGTCCAAAATCGAGTGACGTCATTTATGAACGGGCCCAAAATCGTCCAAAATCGAGTGACGTCATTTATGAACGGGCCCAAAATCGTCCAAAATCGAGTGACGTCATTTATGGACGGGTCAAAAATCGTCCAAAACCGAGTCACGTCATTTATGGCCGGTCCCCAAAGACATGTGTTGTTCCCTGGCAAACTCACGGCCAATGCCGCGTGAAACCCTTGGCCACCAGCAGGTGGCGACCCCGCGCAATCCACGAGGACTCGTCCCGTGGCATCCCTCGCCTGCCATCTCGTCTCTGCCGTGGCAATGATGGGCAGTTGGTGGTGTGAGCGCTTGGTCACCGATGACTCCGTCAAAGTTTACATTTGGTTGGGGGCCGTCCATAAATGACGTCACGCGATTTTGGACGATTTTTGACCCCCTCCCCCCTCGTTCGTCACACGGCGTCACAAAAAGTCAGACCCCCCCCTCAAATATGACGTCACAAAGCTCTGCCCCCCCCTCCCCCAAAAAAATATATATTTTCATTTTGAAAATAAAACATGCTTCAAATCGCTTTAAACTATTGTCATTGTAGTGCGTATTTAATGTGGCGCTGCACTCTGATGTTGTAGGAGAAAACATTTATTAAAACGTCTATTTAATGAAGTAGAACGTGTTGTTTATATTTATTAAAATTTACGCATTTTGATGTGACGTCACATTTCTCACTCCCCCCCCTAGGTGCGTGACGTCATTTATGGACGGCCCCTGGTCACAATTTGGCTACGCACACCTTGGGGGATTGAACATTTGCCGCTTGACGTGCGGCCAACGGAACGTTGCAAGGTGTGCCCCGAGTGTGCGTGCGAGGCTTCGAATTCACTTCGGAAGTATTCCCGTGACGCCGTCTTCCGAAGACGTCCTCTAGCACAGCGGCCCCCAACCTTATTGGCACCAGGGACCGGCTTCGTGGAAGATAATTTTTTCACGGACCGAGAGGGTAGGGGGGGGGGGCATCATTGGGTCTTTCGGTAAAGTCACGTAGAAGGAAAATAATAAAATAATAATAAAAAAAACAAATACAATTCTCACCTGTGAGAAATGTATTTTATCACCTGTGAGAATTGTATTTTATTATGTTTTATTTTTATTATTTGATTACTTCCCTTCTACGTGACTTTACCGAAAGAACCAAGAATATGAATCCCTGCAGTCACGAAAACTTTAAATCTCCAGCGAAGTTTGTTTTTTACTCATTGTGGCTACTAGGGGTTAGCAGCTTGTGGGCTTAGCAACACTGTGACTGAGACAAGTGCGCGGTGCGGGAAAGAGGCGCGGATGAAAGTGGTGAATAATAAAACAATGGGGCAGGCCACGCGCGCACTCACCGCTCTCACATCCTGATGTGCGGTCCGGTTCTCCTGCTCGAGCACCACAGAATGGGTGCAATGCTCGCCGCGGGGTTCTGAATAAAATGTCATCTCACACGCTGCCAACAGCACAAATCTGTGATCACAGTTCGTGTGTGTTCCCAGGTCTGGGCTGTGGGAACCAGAGCCGGCTCCCGTGTAGCCCCTAACACTCTGGGGCTCCCTCCCTACCTCTCTACCTCTCCCACGAGGTCTCAGGATCGCTCCGACTCTGTGGACATGTTTAAAGAGCGTCTCAAATCTTATCTGTGCACTTCCGCACTATTCCACTTTGAGACAATTCCGCAATTTATTTTTAGTATTTTATTATTCTACCGTGTCTAAGTGATCAGTTGCACGAACTACCGTCTTGTACAGCACGTTGGGATCCCTGATGATCGGTGGTTTACAAATATAATTCTCATTTTTACTCATTGGAATAAAGAAACTCTTCCTTTATACATTTAAAAATATTGAATGTATAAATCTTGATCCTAATTCATTAATTGGCAGGACAACGTTTTGCTAATATTTTATGAAAACTTCCTTAATTCTGGTACTAGTTTCTGCCTAAATAATTAATCATGGAGGCTCCACCTTGTGGGCAATGGATGCAAGTGCATGTGGTGTCGTCGTAAATCATGTCAAGACAAAGACAACCTTGACAAGGCGGTGAGCGGTTTATTTGGTTAGAGACTGCGGAGGATCACTGTTGCATGGAACACATCTTGGGATAAATATGACAATCACGTGGTGTCTGCCCTCAAGGGGACCCATCAAACGGAACACATTAAATAGACGTGTTGGCGGCTTCCAATCACCTGGATATATAATCGTGAAGAGGATATTTTAACTGTAATTGGTTTACAAAACTCACATTATTGAGACATCCCATATCCGATTGGTTGGCTCACTGCAGATACCATCTTTGCGGTGCAACCTTTGCAACCTAACAACCCTTTATAATCATTTTCATTTCATCGAATACCACTTGCGAAACTCCACACTGAAACCATAGTCAAACGTTCAACTTTCGAGTCATCACACGTCACGGTGTATTATTAAATACGTGACAAAACGAATATAAGATCTTCCTGCTTGAGGATTTGGGTGGCGCTCTGATCCATCAGCAACCCCAAACTAATGCGAAGAAAGTTGTTGGAGTACCCACACTTTCCCCCACCACACACGACCTGCCAATGGCCAAATGCGGTGTAGCTATTCATGCCGCTGGGTGGACAGGCAGTGAGGATATAAGAAACTTGCCATTTTTGTAACTTGCCAAGACCAAGAGATTGAGTTTAACCGGCGACCTGTGGCTTGCAAGTCCAGTGCGCTCACCGATAGACCACGGCACCATCTCGGAGTGTTATCACGACGGAGTATAAATGTCGATCCCAGCCTCTTTCCGCACCAAGTTAAACGTGTATGGTTCACACAGCTAGTGCCTAACAAGCATGGATCTAAATGCTCTACAGAGTAAGCATGCAACGTTTCGGGTTTTTCTTAGATCAAGCTAAGGTGACTACTGTGATGACACTTAATTACCCCACTCTCAAGCATGCAAAGAGCAGGTTACTAATAAATGCATTGCAAGGTGATGTGTGGATGGCATGTCTAATAAAGTATTTGCTTGAACTTGAAATTGATCTGACAAGTCGCGTCTGCTGAGATGATTTTCCTATATTTAGAAAATTGTGAGGCCTTGTATTTTTCAAGGTCTGATTAAGGGGATGTATGGGTGATAAATTTGACCTTGAATCATATTTGTGATATGTGCCAGACAGTAACATAACCGATCGTTTTGATGGCTATGTATAGCAGCCACAATGACACCAATCTTTCTCTAATTGTGTTGCAAAAGATGATGACAAAGCTCCCCCCGCCCCCTGCAACCTTGACGACTTTTGAGACAGGTGCTCTTTAGGAAACGCACACTAAGAATGGCCACCTGTCTCCTCGTTGGAGATGTTCGCACACCACGCCATGTGCACTTTGACAGATCAGTCAAAAAGCTTCAGGACTTTGAATAATAGCGGGTGACTTGCAGACGGTGCCAGGCTATTTCCTGGAAAGATCGGGTAAACGACATACAAGTTACATTTCGATTTAAAGCTTTCGTGACTGCAGAGATTCATATTCTTGGTTCTTTCGGTAAAGTCACGTAGAAGGAAAATAATAAAATAATAGAAATAAAAAATTTAAATTCTCACGACGTTTCGACTGCAACACAAGCAATCATCATCAGGTGTGATTGCTTGTGTTGCAGTCAAAACGTCGTGAGAATTTTATTGTTTTATTTTTATTATTTTATTATTTCCCTTCTACGTGACTTTACCGAAAGAGCCAAGACTATGACACACAAGTTCTGAATAAACATTGCAGGACAACCTTGAAGCCTTAATCGGGAAGGGGAAGACCAACAGGTGAAGCGAAAGTGCAGGATGGAGGCGGGGAGGTTGGGGCGGCACCCGGCGGAGGTGGCGGCGGTGGTGGCGGTGACATCGGGAAACCCTGGAGACAGATGTTGCGAGACCATACGAGCGAAGGGGCCTTGCTGGTTCGGGCATCGCTCGCCTGTGCAACAACCGGGATGCGTGCGACGGAGGCGGCGGGTGAGGGGTCACGGTTTCAGCAGCGTGGGCTGCGATGACCTCTTGAACCTTGGCGTGCAACATTGCTAACAAAATATGAAACCGCCGACGTTTTACGACAACGGGGACGTTGAAATCGGCACGAAATGTTAAGGGTGCCGTGTAAAAAAACACGTGACAATAGAACCGGGAGAGTTTGTTAAGTGACGCTTGACCGGATATGTTTTATAGAAGGCCGTGTGGTCTCATATTTATCAGGATACAAGCGTTGCTTTTCAGGATATGCGTCGAGCTATAAATTTCGCGGCAAAGCAAATAAAAATGTAGCTATAGCGTTGTGTACATGGCTACCAAAATGTTCACACGCTTTTTCACAGCTTAGCAAAACACACACGGTAAACTGTTTAAAATGCTTACGTACTTTTTTGTGGTATAGGTTTCGAAGAAAGTTGCTTAAGTAAAATTAGGGGGTGGTTGCAAACATAAATGATGAGTTTTCACAGATTTAGGAAAAATAAAGCGCAGTCATTCGTAACACGATCATCACCCTCTCGTGAAAAGTGGCTCCGTCACACGAGTGCAATGTGGCACTCCTCTTTGTTGATGGCCCCAAGCAAGCGGTGAAAATTCCACATTCCTATGGCAGGGGCCAGTTGGTGGACAATCTCCATCCGGGCTCTATAGTGTACACACACTGTCGAATTCACACAAGCTGCGCTACTTGTTTTATCCACCGTGATTATGACTTTAACTTAATTATATCAAACTTCCAAACAAATTCTGTGGCACAGGCGTTTAACACATGATTGGAGAGTCACCAGTTACATTCTGCCGGTGTCGACTCGACTCATCGTCTCTCCAGCACGGATACAAAACGAGTACCACTGCCCGGGAGGTGAACAGTCAGTCGATCAACCTCCAGACCGAACGGTCCCCCCCCGCCTTTGGGATGTGGCATTTTCACCAACTGCTCAGGTTGCGGGCGATCAATGCCGCACGCTCATTCGCACTGAAAGACGCTGCGTCCTGAACGTCGCGAGCCCGATGTTGGGAGTTGGTGGAACGCGCGGGGATGGGAGACACGACGGTCCACGTGGGGGGCACACCCCTGTTGATAAACGAGGTGGTGCCAGCGGTGAGCAGTACAGCAAGCGGGCTTGTCACCTCCTACCATGTGCCATGTGCGTGGCAAGGCAAGGGTGTCCATCTCTCGTATGCTTTGTAGAAAACAAAACAAAACTGGAATTGGGCAAACATCTTGGGCAGGGCTCTTCTGAAAAATCGCCTTGAGATTTTCACGGGGAAAGATTTCAAATTCAATAGTTATCTCTATGAATGTACACACATTAGAAAATAGGGTACGAACCTTTTTTTTTGTCTATTTAGGGAAAAATGTATGTACATAACGTTTGGTAGGAAGTCTTATAAATATATTGCATCCAAACGTGACTCGTTTCTTTCTGTTCAGGGGTCAAGGCTTAAAAGCCATAGGAAAGGTGATGGAAAACAATGGATTGACACTGCACAGCACTTTATCAAATAGACCACACACTATCCCTAACGCGTCTCTACACCACACATTGTACTCATGCACCTATACGCCGAGAAAGGATTGCTATAGGATCACTACAGGATGTTACGTTTCTGGTTGATGCTGGGGAGGAGGCGAGATGGGTGTAATTCTCCCATGGGGTGCCGAGAGAGAGAAGCCACGTGGTTGACGTGCGATGGGGAGGGAGCACGGTGGAGCGTCCCAACTGCAGTGAACCTCAACGTCGGCGTGGGTGTCTCACATGCCTGCGCCGCCAGGCTCCACCTTGGAATCTGTTGAAGATGCGCAGACACACATACAGTCATACCTCGGTATACGACCACTTTGGAATACGTCGAATTTGGTATACGTCGTGTTTTGACGAGAGCAAATTATTGGGGTACGACGTCTTGCTTGGGATACGACGCGCTTGCTAGAACTTGTATGGGTCGGGATGAGTCACCGCGTACCCGCGTAGACCCCGTTCACACTCCTCCCCTTCCTCACCACCATCCCCGTAGGCGATAAACTCCTCTCAGCAAGGTAAAGTGATGTTACATTTTATTTTTATTTAAATCTATTTTCATTTATTTATCTATTTATTTTAATTTATGTATGTATTTTAGTAATAAGTAGTGTCTAAATTATTTTATACAACCTCATTAATGTATAATATGCCACATGAAATATAATTTCTTATACTCTGGAACGGATTATTTCCTTTCCTTTTATTTCTTATGGGAAAAATTCGTTTGGTGTACGTCATTTTCGGTATAAGTCCTACCTTCTGGAACGAATGAACGACGTATACCGAGGTACCACTGTACACACAATATCACCTGTTTAATCACATGCACACCCTTTACTGGCACACACACACTGCACAAACAGACAAAGATGCCTCGAGTAACCTTTCATAGATTGGAGGGATAAGTGCTGTACGTGCGGTGTCGGCATCAATTGGTGCTTGCCAACAACAACATGCCCCAACAGTCTTCTGATGGTTATATTGTTTGGGCATGTGTGTACACACACAGGGAAATCCATATTCCATAAATGACACCGTGCACCTCAGATTAGCACGGTTGGCCACACACGATGCAAAAGACGTTCAACATCATGGGCAGACTTCTATATCTGGCGGGGGAGGGCAGGGATTCACTTTGTCCCTCGGATTAGGAATCGCCGATGCATATAATAAATGTATTTATAATCTTGATTGTAAACTACTGAAAATAAATTAATGAATGTGTCCAGTTTGGGCAGGGCGTTGCCCTCCCGTGCTCCCCCTCCGCCAAACTCCGCCCGCGTTCAACAGACACACAACAACAACCGCCATTCACCACTAAGTGGCGGTGACGTCACCACGATGCTTGTGCCAGGCCATGTGCACCTTGAGGCCACGTGAAGTGTCGAACGCCCGCTGGCAGGAGGTCACGGGGTAGACTCAGCAGGTGCCACGGGTCGACTGACCGAGATGACCGAGATGACTGGCTGACGCACCACCTGTGCCCCCTACTGTGCCAACTTGCTGTGCTATAGCCACCCGGCGCTCCTCTCGTTGTTGTGAGCGTCGCTCCTCCGCCCTCCGTTGTTGTTGGAGGGCGACTGCCTCCAACATACACGCAACATACACACCCGTGCATCGATACGCAGTCACGCTTACCGTGAGGGCGATCTTCATCATGCGAGCTGAAGAAACGTCGGCACGCGATGAGGCCCAGGAATGCCAGCAGCCCCAGCACACAGATGATCAGCCCAGCGGGCAGGAAGATCCCGTAGCCTTGCTGGTCAATGATCTGTGTCGACAAAGCGTTCACAGTCATTCCCCTGCGACCCGTTCGATCGTCACGCTCGCGAGCTCAAGCGCATCCCTGTTCACACGGCTGCTGGGGGTGCCACTCTCGTTCCTGCTGGAAACCCTGAACCCATCGTGTGAAATTCCACATTGCTATGGCCGGAGCTACAGCCTTCTTTTGGTAAAGTCACGTAGAAGGGAAATAATAAAATAATAAAAATAAAACATGATAAAAGATAAAACAAAATTATTTTATTATATAAAATTATTTTATTATGTTTTATTTTTATTTTATTATTTCCCTTCTACGTGACTTTACCGAAAGAACCAAGAAGATGAATCCCTGCAGTCACGAAAGCTTTAAATCGAAACCAATGTTGACTTTGTGAAGTGCTACTCATTTTGTCTACCACAGATTGAGATGATGACGATGGTGACGATGATGACGATGACAGTGATGGGTTGATTCAACCTCAAAAAGGGATTTTAACTTTTGCAACCTTTAGATCTCCAGTCAGGCGATCACAATCGTGGGAAGTCAAGAGCGAAAAGTTCCATCGTGGGAAGGGCTCCTGCCATGGGAATGTGGAGTGTTTAACCACTGGCTCAGGGCCACACACAGTGATGAGTGAGTGGTGCCCGATCGCTCGATTGAACCGGGGGGTAGGGGATGGTGAGACCTGCGTTTATAGAAACACGTGAATACACAAACACGTCGTCACAGCGGAATGAGGCATGATTCTTATCTCGGCCCGTTTGTCATCTCGCCCTGATTGTTGTTTAGGCACGACGGGACAATCGCCTATTCTCTCGAGAACAAAATTATCGTCTGTGTCGAGTTATTTTCCTTTTCCAGTACTGGCCAAACAATAGTGTACAGAACGGAGACGTTGGAAATAATCATTTCACAGGCGGCTCGGGGTCTGCGTCGCGAGACATTGTGGTACAGCTCTACACCGCAAAACAAGCGCACTCCGCCAATAGCGTCTGTTGCTTTACTGGTTTCAGCAGTCCCACCGCCACCACCACCGCCGCACAGCCGACACACACAGGAAGGCGAACCGGGCACGCAGGGGGCTTGCGATTACTAGACGCATTTGGTTCTCAAGTAAAAAGCAAAATAACAAAGACCAACAAAAAAATTCCAATTTTCTTGCTGTGGATTTCACACCTAATGATGATTGCTTGTGTTGCATTTGTAACGGGTTCCGGAGACACTTGTAGATGTAACTTCTTTATTACAATACAACACTCCAACAGTCCTGATACTCTGTTACAGCCTAGATACACAGCCTAGCTACACAGCCTAGATACTCTAGATACTCTACTCTGGCTACGCTCGCCCTCACAAGGTCGTAGAGTCGGGAGTTCCAGAGTCCCACCACTGGCTCTCACAGCATCCCAGGGTCTTCAGATGGCTGGTCGTGGGTCTTGGGTCTTGAGTTACAACTGGGCCCCGATCGTCCAGGAAGCTCTCCTTTTATGCCTGGTCCAACGAGGGGTGGGGCCGTGTGCGCCACCAGACATCCCACAGAGCACACACAGCCCCCCCCCCCCCCCCCCCGTTGGCGGCGCCCAGGGGATTAAGCGCCTGGGAACTCAACGCCTGGCGCCCAGAGGCTTAAGCGTCTGGACCCCCTGGGAACCCAGCGCCTGGCGCCCAGAGGCTTAAGCGTCTGGACTCGCCTGGGATCCCAGAGCCCCCAGCAGCCCCTCCCTTCTTATGTCACTACACATTCGAAACGTCGTGAGAATTTTTATTGTTTTATATTTACATTATTTTATTATTTCCCTTCTACGTGACTTTACCGAAAGAACCAAGAATATGAATCCTTGCAGTCACGAAAGCTTTCAATCAAAAAGAAAATCAACAAGTTATTTTTGGGAAAATAACCGACCGTATTTCAATACGCCAGCAGCCGCCGCCGTATCATAACGATTTGAACAATACTCAAACACAGCCCCCCGTCGCGAGGTGTCTGTGGCGAGGGGCCACAACAGAGGTCACAACCGGGTACCCGATACCCGTACCCTACCTGATACCCGGCTAACCGTACCCAGCCGGGTACGGGTACGGGTAGCCGTTTGCGACCCTGGTGCGGCCGGGTACGGGTACGGGTAGGCCGTGAGTCACTGGTGAGTAACCGTTTGTCACTCATTTCGGGTAGGGTACGGGTAGGGTACGGGTACGGGTACCCATTTGCGACTCTAGTGCGGCCGGGTACGGGTACGGGTAAGGAATTAAAACCCGTTTGCGACCTCTGGGCCACAAGCGGCCCAGCGCACGATGCACCGGTTCCCCTGCGCCAGGCCGAGTGACGCCCGCGCTACGAACGAACGTGCCTCGTCTCACGGTGGCGGCGACAGCTCTCGTTTAGCAAGATTGCGGTGAACTGCTGCTGCTTGCCACGCTTGTATGCGTTTTGGTTTTCAGATGAATTGTGGCCTAAGAAGTCTTTCAATAAAGCAATCACATTACAATCTTCAGACATTACCGTGGATCGCGTTAACGTTGCCGTTTAAGTGTTTACGCATCTGTCTGCGGTGCCCTGCGGTTGTTAAAGCAGCACTCGGCTCATACATGGAAAAATCAAGAGGTCAAATTTTGGTCAGCGCAAGCTCAGCCCATCATGATTCACAGGGTCGATAAAATCAGAACCACTTCATAGGAAGTCGATTTTGGTCGTCTTAAGAACATACCGGCTCTGCCATATGAATGTGCAATTTCCACTACTTTTTTTACGAAGTACAAACAGCTCATGTGCCCTGTGATTCAGCATGGTACCAGTAGATTGTTTAATTTTATTTGTGATAAAAACTGCAAAACTGAGAATTTAAGTGTACATTTCTTACAAGCTATTGACACTTAAAATTCAATGGTGACTCCTCTTCATCGTGGCACTCTTTATATTGAAGCCAGAGGGATGATGATGGGCAGAGATGACCCCCCTCCCCCCCAACCAGGATTAGAGCCCAAATCTCACAGCTGTGCCGGGAGAGCTCTGCCGGGAGAGCTCTGCCCGCCGCTGTGCGACCCTCCCCCCAACGTCGCAGCTTGGGCAACATTGTGGGGGGTGGGGGGGGGGGGAACTTATGGCATTTTCGTTGTTGAGCCGCGCTCCGCAGCAGTTGTATCGAGGTGTGGACGATTGCAGAAATTGAACTACGACATCAGTTTTGGGAGAGGGCTACATTTGTTCCACTCGTTTGTGTCTAAACCCAAGCGCACGGTGGTTGCCTCTGCAGGTCGTGAAGGGTGCCGAATACGAACGCACATTGTCGACAACTCCCGTTTGTTGGGTTATGTTGTCGTGTGTGACGCTCCAGCCACGAGAGAGCAGCTGGGACCTCCGCTGCCAGCGCCGGGTCGCGTAACGCTGGCGCGCACTCAAGCGACGCGTGCGGCTCGTGCCCGCCGCGTGCGCGATGCCTCCTCCACGGGCCTCTGCCCACGCCGGCTTGGAACAACCTCGGCGCCTCGCTATGATGGGAACCGCGAAAGTGCGACTTTCCCGAGCATCCAATTGTTCTACCGACCGTGGCCACAAAACCAGGAAGCAGCGACGCTATGGGCGGGAAGGAAGCCCAGTGGAATCATAATAAAGCGAGCGGGAGCTGTTTTTGCATGGAGCGCCAGACCAGCGTTGCCAGTTGTGAGGAATAAAATCCTCGAGGCTCAAGGGGGAGCGAGATTCGGAGTCAGTGCAAACACGTACAGTGTAGACCGTGTGGGGGGGGGGGGGAATCCCTTTTAGATTTGAAGATGAATTGTGTGTGTAGGACAAAGGGTCGATTCAATCTGCTGACATTGCGGTGGCTGGAGCACTCGACTCGCAATTCGGTTTCAAGTCGACTCAGCTCGACATCGCACCGGGGTAGATACAATGAGTAATGCATTGTGGGAAGTCAAGTGGTCATCCTATAGACACCAGCCCTTTCCACAGCAACGTGGAGTTTCCACCACTTTGCTCAGGGCCACCACTAGAGACAAGTTCCATCGCACGAGTATTTGGGAAGACAATCGCCGACGCTCGCAACAGACCCGGCTTTAGCAACGGAGATTGCAGCGTGAGAAGTTTGGATCCACATCCTGACCAAGTCAGGAACGTGCCCGATCTCATCACACCTCGGGTCGCCAAGCAGGGTTCAGCCCGGATAGTGCTCGGATGGGCGACCACTGTGCACCGCTGGTTTCTACAGGCGGTGGCTGCTGCTGCGGTGTTACATTGTGGACAGCAGGGGGCGGTGCAGCAAAGTCCATTGTTGTGCTGCACGTCTATGCTCCCAATGGCTTTGCTCCCACCAACGCAGGCTGACCAGCGGGTGAAAATAAGGTTCACCCAGACGTGAGAAGTGGCCTCATCCAGCAGTGGAGGGACACAACGGGCGGTGTGGGGGTTCCACGGAGCGACTACGTCCCAGACAACGCATCCCCAGGACGGACTCCCCCCCCCCACCCCGCCTTGATGTGGAAGCACTGGGCCAGCCGGGCAGCAGCCCGGCACAAGCGTGGGTGGAGAGTGCCGGGCGGGTAGCGCAAGTGGGGAGCGCTCACTCACCGTTCCCACGATCACGGGAAGGAACATCTCTCCGGCGCTCGCTCCCGTGACCAGCAAAGTGGTGGCGCAACCTGGAGGGGGGACACAATCACGGGTCGTCGTTACATTTTGTGTTCAGTGCTCGCACGCACGCACACGGACGCACACACACGTCCGCACGCACATGCACACACACACGCACAAAGCGCGCACACACACGCGCAGACACACAAACGTACAAAGGCACGTCAGTAGTGGAAGCACCGGCCGTTTGACATTTAAGTGACGCTCCTTTTCACCAACCCACACCGACCTGCGTGGTGAAGTGTGGTCAATAATTATAGTCAGTGCAGCAAGTGCCAGGCCAGGTGCACCCTTAGCCGAACACGCACACACAGATGCGATGGTGCTGTTTGCGAGGGCCTGCGAAGGCCCAGATGCCGCACAAGGTCGATGGCGCGGCCTGAACTTTGCCTGGTCCCCTCACTGCTTGTGTTTACACACCACACCAGGTACTCATTTAAGGCCGAGTTAACCTAGATGGGGGGGGGGTGGTGGGGAGGCAGGTCAAGTTTTATATGGCTTTCCACCAATAGAATAAGTACCACACTGTAGGACTAAGCACTGATCATCCTACGGGTACAACCATCACTCGCCACAGGCATGTGGAATTTCCACTTTGGGCGCCTGCCGACGCCAGCTCACGAAGACGAGGGGGGCGGGTGTGAAGAGGGGTCAGAGAAGTCAGCCAGGACGGACTCGTCCCGGCACCGTGGAGTGGGCGCGCGTGCGTGCGAGCGAGCGCACCGCGGTAGTTGAGGCTGTCCTCGGTGAGCGCGAGGCCGCTGGGGAAGACGCTGCTGAGGAAGAGGCCGAAGGCGGCCGTGCCGAAGTAGAGCGACATGGGGTGCCGCGAGAAGGTGAGCATCACAGCGAAGGAGGCCACGCAGCCCATCTACACGCACGCATGCGCACAGTCAGTCTCTGACACAGTCTACACACACAGTCGACAACAACAACAACCGCCATTCGCCACTAAGTGGCGGTGGCATCACCACGGCGCTTGTGCCAGGCTATGTGTACCTTGAGGCCCACGTGAAGTGTCGAACGCCCACTGGCAGGAGGTCACGGAGCAGACCCAGCAGGTGCCACGGGTCGACTGACTGAGACGACTGGCTGATACATCACCTGTGCCCCCTACTGTGCCAACTTGCTGTGCTTTAGCCACCCGATGCTCCGCTCGTTGTTGTGAGCGTCGCTCCTCCGCCCTCCGTTGTTGTTGGAGTGCGACTGCCTCCAAATGCCCAGTAGCGTCCTTCACGAGCCTCCTCCACAGAGGCCAATCTTGACACCGCTGGTACCAGTCATCGGCAAGTTCACTCAGCTTCACGTCCTCCTGTACCACATCACTCCATCTCTTTTCTAGCCCGTGCTGTGCCCATTTATCCCCCTCGATCCGGCCGAACAAAAGCTGTTTAGGCATGCAGTGGCTGGGCATGTGGGCTACATTTTCCAGCCAACGCAGCCTTGCCTGCCATAGGAGCTCACCGATGGGACCTTGTCCAGATGTTTCAAGGATATGTGAGCTCCTCACACAATCTAGCTTGGTTAAACCCAGGATGGATCGTAGGCAGGCCAGCCTAAATGTTTCCAACCGGCAAAGATGCTCCATTTGGGGGGGGGTCCACGTTTTGCAAGCGTAGAGAAGGGAGAGAATGACTGTGGCCGAGAAGACCTGAAGCTTCGTGCGGAGCGACAGACCAAGCAGCTTCCACACAGCGTTATGCAACCGATGAAAAGATATTGCCACTCGACTGATTCGGAGTGAGACCTCTGCTGTTAAACTGGAGCCGGTCATAAGCACACTGCCAAGGTATGGGAAACTCTCCACTCTCTCCACAACTGGCCCATCACCGATTGAGAGTTGTGGGGGTGGAGTGTCCGATGATACAAAATACCCAGGCAGGTGCTTAGTTTTGGTGGGGCTGATGGTAAGGCCCCACCTCTTAGTAGCACGCTCCAGTCTCAGCAGCAGCGTCTCCAACTCCTCCTCTGAATGAGCAGCTATTACCAAATCATCGGCATACATAACGTGGTTGACCAATAGGGAGCCATCCCTTGATCACACGCGGGCATCGATCAGCCTCCCATTATATTTGTACCAAATGGAAATTCCCCCGGTACAGCTATTGAAGGCTTCACGAACTACGTGGTCAAAATAGATGTTAAATAATGTGGGAGCCAGAGGATATACCTGTCGCACCCCAAGGTGTACAGCGAATGGCTCTGACTCCCGGCCACGTAGTTTTACCCGGGCCCGCTCACCATCATGAAGGTCCTTAATGATCGTGAGCAGAGGGTCAGGGACTCCGAAAGCACGAAGAACAACCCAGAGCCCAGGCCTACTGATGGTATCATAGGCCTTGACCAGGTCAATAAAGCAGAGATGTAGATCTTGTTGGAATTCCCTACACCTCTTCTGTAGCAGACGGACAGAAAATATGGCATCTATGCAGGACTGCCCTTTCCTGAAACCGCTTTGGGGCTCTGCAAGCCCCTCCTCAGCGTGCCTAGCAAGGCAATGTTGAATAATCCTTGAGATGATTTTTCCCGGCACACTGAGGAGTGAGATGCCCCTGTGGTTGTTACAGTCTATGCGGTCCCCCTTCTTAAAGAGGGGGACCACCAGGGCATCCTTCCAATCCTGCGGAACCCGTCCAGTGGTCCAGACCGTCTACAAACACACACATACACAGTCAGTCTAGACACAGACACACAGAGTACGAGCATGATACACACGCGCACACACACAGTGTGCATACGAGCATGATGACACACACAGCAATTCCATATTCCTCTGTTGAGGGCAAGCTTAAGTATGAATGTTCAACTTCTTTCACACCACACGTAGCCAACCGTGATCATCGCAGGTGTCTATCGATAGCACACCGGCTGTTGACTTCCCCACAAAGTGGTACGTATTATATCGATCCCAATGGGATGATTGGGCCAAGTCAGCCTCCGTGCACTCCCAACGAGGATGCGAGCCGCTCGCTCTGCCGCCGAGCCGGACGATGGCACCAACGCGGACGGGACGACGGCGACACACCCACGAGGAGCGGTAATCATCATTCACGGCCACCACGCTCGTATCGCAGCAGCAGCTGCAGTAGCTGCCGCCGGAGGCAAAGCGCTGCGACACGGCCGCTGACAATGAGCGCCGTTGGCTCACGCTGCGGTGGCTCCAGACGGCTTGGTTTGAATCGGTAAGTAGTGGCGGCTCTTGGTTTGAATCGGTAAGTAGTGGCGGCTCTTGGGCCAAACCCACAGCCCTGAGCGAGCGAGTGGGCGGGCGGGAGCGCAGAGCTGGGGGGCACTCTGCCTGGTGCTCCGGCCTCCACTGGAGCCGACCCGCAGCCTTCCTCGCACAACACGAGGCCTTCTCGCCTTGGTATCGACAACCCCACTGTTGAGTCACTTCACTGCTCAACTGCACATGCTCGCTGTGGCAGCCAGAATTCTCACCCGCACCGCCAACTCGGATCGCATCGACCAATCCGCAGATCCCCCTTGTCTGGGGCTTTATTCTTATCGTCACCACTGTGATCCTTTAACCCAGTCTCAAGACTCCACTTCAGGAGGGTCCTGTCAAAGTTGTCCTGTCAGGAGCGATGTTGCGCCTCTGTGTGATCCAAATCGAGTGACTTGCAGGGAATTTTTCAGCATCGGAAAACAGCACTGGGATAACGACATGCACACACACACATAGGGACACAGGGACACGAACAAAGGGACACAAAGACACATATCCCCCGTGTAGCCTTAACAGACTATTGGGACAAGTGCTGGTAGCGAGCACCTATGAAGGCCAGCACGGTACACGAGGCGGTGGGTGGCCAGCACCACGCCCGACCGCCTTTATCTCTCTAGGAGAGGCCCAGGACCGGTTCAGATAACCGTCACCGGCGTTGCCCGCGAGCGGGAATCGAACTCGGGTCGCCGGGGTTTGTAGCGCAGTGCGTTAACCGCTGCGCCACCGCTCCCACCGCACGGACACGCCGAGCCCCCCCCCCCCCCCGCCGCTGCGGGGAGTCGAATGCGCCGTACCCAGTTGATGGAGAGGAGGATGCTGAGCGGCACGCGCGTCGACAGCGGGATGGAGACGAGGCGGCCCAGCGTGATGAAGCCCCAGAAGAGGCTGTTGAGGAAGGCCGCCTCGCTGGGCAGCATGCGCACCGAGCTGTGCGTCGAGTAGCTGTGCACAAAGCCCGCAAACTCGGACTGCACGCACACACAAAGACAAAGAACCCCCGCGTAGCCTTAGCAGACTGTAGGGGCAAGTGCTGTCAGCGAGCACCTATGAAGGCCGGAACGGTACACGAGGGGGTGGGTGGCCAGCACACGCCCGAACGCCTTTGTCTCCCCAGTGGCGATGTTTACACACCGCACCAGGTTGAGTCGTCATTGGTATTGACTGTGAGCGGGAATCGAGCCCGGGTCGCCGGGATCATATCGCATGGCGCTAACCACTACACTACCGCTCCCCACGCACAGACAGGCACAGAGACACGCACAGGCAAGGGAGCCCCCCCCCTCCCCTCTCAATGCTAACGTCTTGGCTAACACACCACGTGCTGACTCCAGCGCATGCGTCAGGGAGTGCGTGAACACTCCTCCCGACGCGCACAGTGCCTGTGGGGGTGACCATGTTGACGATACATTTGAGGACGATTGTGACAAGCGTGGTGATGATGATGATGGTGGTAAGATTGATGACCACAAATACGATGACAGTGACGATAATAACGACGATGATGTTGACTTACCAAGACTCCTTCAGAGAACAGCAGAATGAGCATTCCCAATATGTGGATGGACATCATCTTTGTCGACAAGTTCTGCCCAGTGAAACAGTTCAGAATTCCATGTTGTGTAGGCCCTACGACAAACGATAAAAACACAGAACAAAAAAAAATACAAGAACGCCGATAAACGCTGATGAACCACACACGAGTTTGGTGCTCGGGGCGTCACCTTGTCGGTCGTGGTCGGGCCCCGAGTCGCCGTCGTCGTCGTCCATGGAGATGTCCTCCCCGAGCAGCGGGGCCTTCTCCTGGCTGCAGCACTGGCTGCAGCGGCTCCGCACCATCAGGAAGAGCACCGCCAGCGGCACGGGCAGCTGCACGGGCAGCACACGCGGCACACGCTCAGTACACGGGCAGCACATACAGCGCGAGCGGTGCGTCGAGTACTCGCTTCACGCGTGGTGTTCACGCGACGAGATTTCTCTACAACGCGTTCTTCCACGAGGGAACACTTATCGTACAACGTGGAGGGTCAGGGTGGGGGGGGGGTCGGGGTGAGAGGTCGGGGGTCGGGACAAGGGTTCGGGGTGAGAGTTGGGGAGGGGTCGGGGTGGGGGTGGTCTGGGTGGGGGGGGGGGGGTCTGGGTGGGGGGGGTCTGGGTGGGGGGGGTCTGGGTGGGGGGGGGGGTCTGGGTGGGGGGGGGGTCTGGGTGGGGGGGGGTGGTCTGGGTGGGGTGGTCTGGGTGGGGGGGGAGGTCGGGGTGGGGAGGGTCTGGGTGGGGGAGGTCGGGGTGGGGGGGGTCTGGGTGGGGGGGGGTCTGGGTGGGGGGGGGGGTCTGGGTGGGGTGGTCTGGGTGGGGGGGGGGTCTGGGTGGGGGGGGAGGTCGGGGTGGGGAGGGTCTGGGTGGGGGAGGTCTGGGTGGGGGGAGTGTCTGGGTGCGGAGGGTCTGGGTGGGGGGGGTCTGGGTGGGGGGGGGGTCTGGGTGGGGGGGGTGTCTGGGTGCGGAGGGTCTGGGTGGGGGGGGGTCTGGGTGGGGGGGAGTGTCTGGGTGGGGAGGGTCTGGGTGGGGGGGGTCTGGGTGGGGGGGGGGAGGTCTGGGTGGGGAGGGTCTGGGTGGGGGGGGGGTGTCTGGGTGGGGAGGGTCTGGGTGGGGGAGGTCTGGGTGGGGAGGGTCTGGGTGGGGGGGGTGTCTGGGTGGGGGGGGGGTGTCTGGGTGGGGGGCTGGGGGTCTGGGTGGGGAGGTCGGGGTGGGGGGCTGGGGGTCCGGGCCTCACGTTGATGAAGGCCATGATCCAGAAGGCGTACTGCACGTTGGTGACGGCGCGCCCGCTCAGCGGCAGCACGACGGCGTCGTGCCGCGCCGCCACGTGGTGCGGCACCAGCTCGCTGCGCAGCGACTCCAGCTTGGAGAAGTTGTGCACCGTGGCGTTGGCCGTCAGCAGGCAGTGGTCGTCCGACAGGAAGGGCTCGGCGATCAGAGGGCTCAGGAGGCCACCCAGACCCGCCCAGAAATGCAGAGCCTGGACGGAGAGTTGGGGGGGGGGCGGGGGGGTCGCCAGGGTCATTGCTGGTGTCGTCACAGACAGCGCTGCTGACGTCATCATCGTCATTCTACACGTGATCACCATCGAGGCTGTTTGCGCCGTGACGTCGCGCCTGCAAGGTCCGTCTCGCCTACAGAGCGTCTCCCTCTCATGCCCCCCCCCCCCCCCCCCCCAGTCTCTCTATCTCCTGCGGGGCGCCGGGACCTCACCTGCAGGAAGGGCGAGGCGTTGTGCTGGAAGAGGCGCAGGATCTGCGTGTTGGCGATGGTGTCGATGCAGCCCATGGCGAGTCCCACGAGCGCCAGCACGAGCGCCAGCAGCACGACGTGCGAGCACAGCGGCACCACCACGAAGAGCACCGACACGGAGAGCGTCGCCACGAACAGCAGCGGCGCCGCCGACACTCTAAACAACAACCACAACCACTATTATACTGCAACCATGATCATACCACAACAACCAAAACCACTATTATACCACAACCACTATTATACCGCAACCACAATTATACCGCAACCACGATTATACCACAACCACGATTATGCCACAACCACGATTATACCGCAACCACAATTATACCACAACCACAATTATACCGCAACCACGATTATGCCGCAACCACTATTATACCGCAACCACTATTATACCGCAACCACTATTATACCGCAACCACTATTATACCGCAACCACTATTATACCGCAACCACTATTATACCACAACCACTATTATACCGCAACCACTATTATACCACAACCACTATTATACCGCAACCACTATTATACCACAACCACTATTATACCACAACCACTATTATACCGCAACCACTATTATACCACAACCACTATTATACTGCAACCACTATTATACCGCAACCACTATTATACCGCAACCACTATTATACCACAACCACTATTACACCGCAACCACTATTATACCGCAACCACTATTATACCACAACCACTATTATACCGCAACCACTATTATACTACAACCACAATTTTCCCGTAACCACTATTATACCACAACCACAATTATACCGCAACCACAATTATACTGCAACCATGATCATACCGCAACAACCACAACAACCAAAACGACAATTATACCACAACCACAATTATATCGCAACCACAATTATACCATAACCACAATTATACCACAATTATACCAAAACTACGATCATACTGCAGCAACAACTACGAATTCTAACACCACCACAAATGACCACGGTGAATTATAACGATGCAAGAGCAGCAAGAGCCATCAAAATAGAACAGGAACAGCAAAGCGACAGGTACAACACAAACAACAACAACAACGCCAAGTGAAACGTGGACGACCGCGATAACAAAGAACTACAGATAACCTCGCGCTCACCCAACAATGGTCTCTCCACTGCTGGATAAAAATCAACGAATCCATAATTTGTATAAATCCACTTCTTGAAGCGTTCCTGGTCACGTGTTCCAGTTTCAGTTTCATTTTCTCCGCCCGTGTCTAGTTTCTGACACCTACGTCATCAAGGATACTCCGCACCGGTCGGACGCTTAAACGTTTTGGCACATTGATACGTGGCCTTGCACGATCATTTCACAGTGAGAACAAATATAAGCCTTTTACATTTTTCATCAAGGACCTTTCTAGTTGAGATGTTTTGCCATCAGAAACGTACTTTCTCTACTGTTCATTACAAGTGGAAACTTGATTCCTAGCAGCAACGTGTTGCCTATCCTCATCTTAGCTCCCATCTCTCTGTGACCCCCCAACCCTGTTCCCAAGATTGTTAGATAGTTATCGGTGTCCATTACAAACCCCCAACTATGTAGCGGTGACGTCACCATGACACCTGTCGCAGGCTAGGTGCACTTTGAGGCCACGTGTCAAAGGCTTGCTAGCAGGAGGTTACGGGACAGATCCTGCAGGTGCCATGGGTCGACTGACCGAGATGACTTACAGATGCACCAGCCGTACTGCCCACTGTGCCAGCTCGCGTTTTAGCCACCCGGCGTTTCACTCGTCGTGAGTGTCAATCCCGTAACCTCCGCTGTCGTTGGAGGGAAATTGCCTCCAACTGCCCAGCAGCAGCGTCCTTCATGAGCCTCCTCCACAGAGGCCGATCTTGACACCGCTGGTACTGGTCATCAACAAGTCCACTCAGATCCACATCCTTCATCGCTTCTCCAGCCGTAGCGTACCCATTTAGCCCCCTCTAGCTGGCTGAACATAAGCTGTTTAGGCATGCGGTGGCTAGGCTACCCAGCCACCCACCACCACACCCAACGACTGGACGTTTCGCAACGAAGCAACAAGAACGATCATCCATGTAACGCTGTCTGTCTGTGCCCCTCCGAACCCTCCCTGTGCGATTAGCCGCCCGTGTCTTAGCTCACTGCCCCCAGGGAATGACCTTGTCGAAATGCTTCGACTCGGCACTTTTTACAAATACCGTGGCATTTTCCGATTCTTCTAATTTTTACACCGTCAGACTCGCAGCCGCCCCCGCCCACGCCGCGAACTCGCAACCTTCCCTCCGATGTGCGAACCGCTCGCTCGAGCCCGGAGCCACCTGGCCTGAGTTAAAGGGCATCGTGCACGTTACGAATCGCATTATCACTCTTACTATTGTTGTTGTTGTTGTCGTCGTTACCCCGCTTGCTACGGTGCAATGGTCGCGGGCCCCCCCACTCGACGCGCCGAGCCCTTCATCGTTGAAGTCTTCTTCATCGTCGTCTTCGTCTTCTCGTTCGTCCAGCAGAGCCACGCCGGGTCCAAGGCCGCTTCTTCAGGAGGATCCTTCATTGGGTTTGTATTTTAAGATGTTTTTTCCGCCAACGTACGAGTGTTTGTACAGGTAGGAGGAAACCGGAGAAAATCCATGCACGCAAGGGGGCAACACTCGATTCCCGTACAGATGGAAAGTAAAGGAGATTAGTCCACTTCCTGTCCCGCCTTCTGCTGGCGAACCAGGGTATGGCCACGGGAAGGAACTTTCGCAACATCTGTGCGTGATCCACAGGCCTCCTTCGCTGCTGCTGCTGCCTCCACAGCGTGGGATCACGACAGGCTGCCACATGCAGCAGCAGCAGTGTAGCCACCAACACCAACGCCACCACCACCACCACAACCGCCTCCGTCCGGCTTCTCTCGCTCTGCGCCGACGGCGGGGACCCTCGTGTTTGCTGGCGACTACCTGTGGCTGTGAGGCTCACCCCGCCGCTCACCCCGCCGCTCACCCCGCCGCTCACCCCGCCGCTCACCCCGCCGCTCACCCCGCCGCTCACCCCGCCGCTCACCCCGCCGCTCACCCCGCCGCTCACCCCGCCGCTCACCCCGCCGCTCACCCCGCCGCTCACCCCGCCGCTCACACGCGCACCGCGCTCACCCGCCGCTCACCCCGCCGCTCACCCCGCCGCTCACCCCGCCGCTCACCCCGCCGCTCACCCCGCCGCTCACCCCGCCGCTCACCCCGCCGCTCACCCCGTACCGCGCACCCCGCCGCGCACCCCGCCGCTCACCCCGCCGCTCACCCCGCCGCTCACCCCGCCGCTCACCCCGCCGCGCACTCCGACGCGTGGCTGAACTTGAGAAAACCAGTCCTGCCCCTTGCCCAGCCGGTTCCAATGACTTACACTGCCAAGGAGGAAACATTCAAGGGCGTTTCAAACTCTAACAAACAACCTCTGCTGCGTTTGACTGCATCAGCAATTGCATCTCGAAGCGTTGCCGTTTGGGCGCCCAGGTGCCGCCCCAGGTGCCGCGCGTTATTCTCATTGCACGATCGAGCCACGTGCGTTCCCCCACACCCCCCCCCCCTCCCTCTCGCAGAAACGCTCAACCACTAACCGCCCTACGCGGCCGTGGGGGCTGTTTGGCCATACTTCACCACGCTGGTCAGTGCGGTGTGAGCCGAGACACCGGCGAGCAACACGTCCCAACGAGGACACGCGGCCCGAGTCAATCCACTGCTGGATGAAGGCCTCCCCACGTTGTGGCGGTTGTTAAACCATACTGGTGAACCATACTTCATCAGTGAGGGCTGGCAAAGGGTGCGGGGCGGTGGACAGGATCGGTTTAGACATCGTGGCTCGCCAGCGATGATGGCCGTGGCCGGCAGGCGAGCCCAGGCCGCCGAGGGATCACGGCGCTGCGTCCAACCCACCGCACCGCCGCTCCGCGTCCACGCGACCCCTCCGTGGGTCGTCGGGGTCACCCTCGCAGTGCGCTCACACAGATTCCCCCCCCCCGCCCCCCACGTGCTCTCTCGCATTCGTCTCAATCCCGGACACGGGGCTCACGCCTGGACGGGCGTCGCTGCGGCGCGCGACTCAAAGTCCAAAGTCGACAAACTCGCACAGGCCGGCCGAGGGTTCTCTCCACCCATCGTCACTGCGGGCTGGGGGTTGCCACCTGTCCGGGATTTCTCAGAAGCATGGACATTGAGAGTCTCCGTTTGCGCGAGGTGAGTGACGCACCGCACTCCACGACACGTGGGGCCCTCCGCTCTGACGCTCGTCACGGTGCGTTCTTGGCGGGGGTTTTGTACTTAGCAGGTGGCAACCCTCCTCCGGCATCGTGAAAACAAGTACCAGCGTTAACACCATTGGTACCTTATTTGCCAGTAAAAAATATGATTGGTAAAAAACCAATTATCATATTTTTTACTGGCAAATGAGGTACCAATGGTGTAAATGCTTACCCCGAGCTCTCATACTCTAATGGTGCATTGTCTTTGAGTTGTGCGCCTTTTGGTGTCATCTGGTCCAACCCATGTGAGACTAGGCTCTAAGGAAAGCTGTCTCGGGTGTGAACCAATCAACTTCAAGGACAGTGCATACATTATCAGAGTTATGTTTTTTGTTTGCATTATGACTGCAGGTATTGTGGTCTATGCAAACATGACTCCTCGTAAAAAGGTGTCAGTTTTGTTACCAGATAAAAGGGTAAAAAACCAATTATAAAGTGCCAGCGTCTTTGGAGAAGTTGCTGTTCGTTGCTGTATGCGTCACGTAACCGCGAGTTGAGATGAACCCATCGAGACAACAAGAATCGACCATGGGCTGGCTCCATAGAGTCAACAGCGATTCCTGTGGAGCGACAGACTCCGGCCAGAGCAACGTGGAACTGGCACCGCCGGCTCGGGGCTTGCCCACGGCGATGAGCAAAGCCCCATCGCCATCGGAGCGCGAACAGGAAATTACTGTGGAATGTAATCCTCGACGCGTTAACCGTGTGTTGTGGGGCGGCGGTTCTAGGGTTTGCGCTGCAACAGGCAAAGTGCAAACGTAGCCAAGCGATACGGAGCCAAGCGATACGGAGCGTCAGCGCAGCGTGGGGTGGGTGGGTCTCCCCCTCCCCTCCTCGACGCGGAGTCAAAGCGGTGGCTCATCCGCCCCTTTCTTTATTG